CCCCAAAACCCCAAAACCCCAAAACCCCACAATGAAAATTCATAAAAAATTATGTGAATTTTGAGAAAATTAGTAGATAATTAATAAAATGAGTTTGAGTAAATTAAATGCGGATATCGGAATCGTTACACCAACTCCATCAAGTAACACTAATTTTATCTTTAATGGCTAAAAATCAAACAATGATTCCAATACTCCATCCAATACAAGTCTCTACTTTAATAACAATTTTTAACTATAAAATGTGCCAAGATTTGCTGTTGAGTCTCATATTAATAATGTTAGCATTGAAAACTTGCCTAAGTTCATGCCAAACTCCTCAGCCCTTGAGAGGAAATAAATAAATCACCTAGGTAGTAAAGTAAATCATCACTCACATTAGCAAGCTAAATAATAAGTATTCAAGCATGTTATTTAGCAGAGATTATTATAACAATAGTAAGAAGACACCCAAGCCTAAACTGGAATTATGATCAATAGAAAGAGTAGTGGCTCGGTAGGCTTTAATATAAATGCAGCAGCAGCAGTAGTTATGGATAGCAATACTACAGTACCTAAGTCCTCTGAATTTGGCTTTTCTTAGTAATTTATGGCGGTTAGACAATTTCAGAGCTCAATCAGCTAAAACCTCACCACTAAATAGCGCCGATTTAAACTGAATAAAAATAAGAGTCAAGTGAACTAAACACACGTTCTTGATCATCCAAACATAAATGCCTCTTTTGGAGTTAATAATAACAACTAAAATCCATACAATATAAATATCAGTGGGAACATCTCAACTATGAATAATATTACTAAAAATAATAGTATAAGTAATAGAGGAGGCAACTATAATTCAAACAGAGGGATAATGGGGAGTAAAGTCGGTAGTAATTTAAATGCTCATCGCTATATAACAGATGAGAATAAAAACAAAAACAATATTGCTATGAGCATTAGTAGCATTAGACCAATGACAGCAATTAGCAGAGAGCAGTATAATCATGAGGCAAGGAAATTGAGAGTAAGAGGGATGCAAAAGCAAAAGTCCTCAAAGTTATCTACGGATCATAGTCCTATTTAGTCACAAACAACTTAATTGAAAAGCAAGTCTATTCACATAGAGCTCCCAATGAATGCAGATCTGTCAATAAGTCCAAGGAAAACACTAGAGAAATTATAATCAGAAAGAAAGGAAAGTTAAAAAGACTCAATAACTTCGAAGAATATTTCCTGCTTTATAGTCCCGATTAAGGTTAAGACAGAGGTAAGGTAGCCAGCGATTCACTCTTTTAAGATCCTTAAAAGTTCTTTGAAGTCTAATAGGAATTAAGACTAGTAGTCAACCTCATCACAGAGAGGGTAAAATCAATAATAGGAAGAGAGGATTCAGCTCAAATCATTATTGGAGAAGCAATTCAGAGATCAGCAGTAATCTAATTATAATAGCAACATAGTCCTTAAAAATAAATCGAACAATTCAAGCATTTCAGCTAAACACAATAATTCCAATAGCTTTAGATTTATTGAGCAAAACGACTTATTATCAAGAAAGCAGAGTTTGCTGTTTAGACGAAAGTCTGATCAGCTTAACACTACCTCCTCCTCAGTTGGTAAAAACAGTGGAAGTAAAAATGAAGTATTGATTAAAAATTTAAATGACAAGGGATAGACTTCAAGGATTATCAATGCACTTAAAGGCAAGAGAATCAGAATAAACTTCAAGCCTGCAGGGAACAAGAGATACTATGGACAGTAGTAAAAGTTAGTGGAGTATAAAAATCAATAGCTCTAGGTTTAACTTAGTAGAAGATCAAGTATGGATTTTATGAGCAATAGATATAGCGTGAGTCACATGGACAGATCAACTTTGTGTGAGAAATTTAAATCAACTCAAGATAAAGCTTTCTCTAAGGATCATTATAGCAAGCATAAAGACAAAAGAGTTAATAACACAAGCTCTTATGGTCAAATCAATGACTCGTAATAATTACAGTAATGGCCATAGCATCAAGGCGAGTCTAAGAACTCATCTGAAAATAGAAATGGTTTCTTTGTTACCATGAATAAGGATATTGAGCATGAAGTTGGGCATATATCATAAGTATAATAGATTTAAGCTAATACTAGTAAAAATACAAACAACAAGAAATCTTTGTTTTAAAAGTAAAGAGCTAGTCTAGATGAACAGTCATTTAGAAAAGATATTGATATTTCAAAGGACCTTAAGGCCTTATTGAAAGTAAGGGAAAATAAAAGAAACGTAAATTATATGTATCGAGATGAGGAAGTGATAGTATTAAGATCTTCAAAGCATTTTTCTAACAAAAATAGGGCTAGAACTTCTTCGCAAGCTTTAATAAACAGTTCAGAGGATTAAATACTTTAATAGCTCTCTCCGAAATCCATTAAAAATAATGGCTCGTAGGAGAAGATTGCTTCAGCTAGTAGCATGATTGCTGGCAAACTGCCAAGCTAGTACAATGTGATTGGGCTTTTGGCTTTGGATTAATTGAAAAAGAATAATAAAAAGATCATCAATAACTCTAAATTTGTATCAGGCATTCATCATCGCCCAAAGACTGCAATTCGTAGACCTCTTTCACAAGTAAAAAAGCTGTCGATATTTTAGCCAATATATAATGCTTGAGTTTGAACACTTATTATGAAAATTTGATTAATTTCTTTATTTAAATAATCATTCTATTCTAGAAATTTATGCTGAGGGGTTTTGGGGTTTTGGGGTTTTGAGG